TACCAAATACCTTTCTTGTGGGGCCTTTGTCCTTCTCCCCCATGTCTGGATGCCTGATTTACCTCTCCCTCTCTCTGGTCCCCTGGCAGAGGCACAACACCCCCAGGCCCTGTCTCCTCAGCTATGAGATGGAGTGAATGACCCTCCTCTGCCAACCTCCTAGGCTGGAGAAAAAGAATTCAAGACCCTATAACAGGCAATACCGCAAAGTGGTTGAACAGCATAATGTTGGTGCTGGAGTACCTAGGTTTGAAGCCCTGATCTCCAACTCCAGAAGCTGTGTAACCTTGGGCAGGTTACTTAACTTCTCTGTACCACAATTTCCTTATCTGAAAAACAAGAGTGAGGAAAGTACTAGCAACTTTTTAGGGTTGTGGATGAAGCTTTAAAGAATTATTTTATGCAAAAAGCATGTAAGGAGAGCTGTGGTTATTATAAAGGTGATGTCTGCTGTGGACGGCAGCACTAGCAGGAAAAGCTTCAGCATTCCTTCCCACAGGGGCTGCCCCAAGGGGAAGGGGCAAGAGCCAAGTGCCTAACAGGCTTTTTGTAGAAACAGCTGATCTAGCTCTAATGGCAATGACCATTACTCCCTCCCTGCAGCCTACACAGTGCAAGGTCTGAGTCTCTCTTGCTCCCCACCCACCACCACCACCTCCGCCCTCTGGCTGTTGTGGCCTGATCTTATCCCTTTTTCATCAGACTGCCTAACTGACCAGAAAATGCAAACGCATCCCTAAACGCACGTAACTGCTCCCCACCCCCCAGCACTCTCCCCCTTTCCGGGAAGCCGGGCCCCAGCGCCAGCCTGACAAGCAGCACTTAATTCTTTATTGAAAACCATTAACTGGAGTTCAGTTCCCTGAGCCCCAGTTTCAAATTACTCACAGGAAACGCCAGACCGGGAGAGTGGCTTTCAAGGGCAGAGCCATCTCCTCTAACAGACTGGCTCCAGGACCCTGGCTATGGGGACTTTTTTTATTTTGAGAGGCAATAACAACAACAAGGACACAGAAACAGCAGCAATAGCTTCAACCCCTACCATGCATGAGAGCTGACAAAGCACCCTCCTCTTCCTCTCTGATTAACAATAGCCCAGTGCAGCAGGTCTGGCAGGAAGTAGGGCCACTCCCTGACAGATGAGAAAACTGATGGCCTCGGGGTCACACAGGCAGGCAGAGATTGAACTGGGCTCCAGATCCCCCTGCCAGTGAGCCCACGACTCTGGCCCTTCACAGACCTCACAGACCACCCATGGTGGGACCTAACCTGTGGGAGGCACAGCAGGCGAGACAGGTAAAAAAGATGCAACACCTGCCTTGAGAAGCTACCTGCTTGGGAGAGGGACGATGAAAAGGAGTCCTACATTAGAGCCTCAGAGACCCTAGTTCTATCCTGGGTCTGCCCCTAACTGCCTGGCACACTGTGGGTGTTAATTATCATTCATGGCACAGGCAGGAAGGAATAAGGCCAGGGGAAAATGGACAAGAGGAGTGAGGGAATGGAAAAACAAATGAGTCCTTAGTCACCTCTATCAATATTTCTAGCCAACCTAAAAGAAACTTTATTCAGTCATTCATTTTGAATTGCCTGAGGTCTTCTATGTGCCAAGCACTGAGAAAGTACTTTACAAATATTTCTCATTGAATTCTCCAAATAGGTACCATTACTATAACTATCACCATCCACCAGTGAGGAAAGGGAGGCTCAGAGAGTTTAGGTAATTCATTCATGATTACACAGCAGTGTCAAGATTTGAACTCAGGTCAGCCTGACACCATGATTCCCACTGCGCATTGTGTTACTATTAATAGTGTCATTGTGGTTCTATAAACAACTACACAGTGACCCAACAAGAGCAGAGAGAATAACAGGCCTGTGTGGGGTGTCAAGGAAGTTTTTTCAGAAGCTGTAGAATCTGAGTTGAAGGATGGGTGAGATTCGGCCAAATGAAAAGGCCGAGGAGAATGTTCCACGCAGGGACAGTAGCATAGGCCAGGATCAGGAAGTATCAAAAGACACAGCATGTTAAGGCAAGTCAGGAATTGCTGAAATGTCTGAATTAAGCACAGAGAGTACAAAGGGACACTGGCCTCCAGGAGTGTACAGCCCCAGAGAGATGGAAATATGTCAGATGACTTGGTTTTTGAGGTGAACTGGGTAAGAATTTTTATCCAAGAACAAACAGTGTTCTGCTTGTGTATCTCACTCACCTCTTCCATACAGCAGCCCTGAGAAGTAGCTGAAGAAGGATGCCCTTGGCTGGGGCAGGCAAGGGGCTCTGGCCTCGGAGTCTAGGGGCCTGTTTCCCAGAGGCTGTGCTTCTTACCACCTCTGAATCTGGGTTTCCCCTTCTCTACAAAGGAGTCACTGAGAGCCACTTCCTAGCACAGTAACTTCCAAGTTACTGTACTTTCCAGTAGCCTGGAAAGAATACATTGGGTTTATTCTCATTTACCTCCTTTTAAAAATGTGGACACGGAGGCTCAGAGACTTGCCTGCGGACATCTTCAGAAAATGCTTGATTTGAAATTTGATCTCAAATCTGATGGATTTCTCTGCCGTGCTGTCACTTCCACCTACTGAGTCTAGTTTAGCCCTCTGAAGTCCAATACAATAAGCCTGCTTCTCCATCCACAATACTCCCTTGGATGGATGAAGACAACAGCTGTGTCCCCAAATCTCCTCTTTCCAGCCAAACACTCCCAAATTTTCACCCAGTAGGATTTCCCAGCCCTCAACAGGGCTTAGTTTCCCTTGAGGAAGAAACAGGAAAGAAGAACAATAGGAGTTGCCTAGTACCCTGGACAGGATTGAAGTATCCCCATCCTCAGAACCAGCAGCCAGGCACAGAGTATCAGCTGCAGCTAACTCCCCACGGAAAACAGTAGTCACAGCCTGTTTGCCTTCTCTGGTCCACAAACTGCCATGGCCAAGCTGGACACCAGCTTGGAAACCCAAGGGACCTGTCTCCATCCCAAACCTTGTCTCTTCCCTGCCCCAGATGGCCCTTATTTGAGCTGGATCCATTTTCTTGGCCACCTTACTGAATGCGGTGCACACTCATTCCAAAAAATGCTGACCTCTGCTCCAAGCCGCCTTGTCGGCAGTTTCCCAGACATAGCTTGACTGTTTATTTATTTATTTTTGTGTTAGCAAAGAGGAGAAAATCACATTGGCCTAAAATGAATACTAATGAAATGCCTTCGTTAGTGTCCTTTGTGATAAGAATGAAAAATCGGATTTCCGTGGAATCACAAGCTATACATTTCTTTTCCCCAACCTTTTTTTTTTTTTTTTTTTTTGCCCTTTCCTCTGACAGAAAGATTAGGGACAGCCTGGAAGGAGAATAAAGTCATTTCATTAAAAATATCTGCATTTTTAAGGGCGCCTTTGTTGCAGAGGGACGTGGCTGTGCAATTTCTCCAAACCCACTTTTCTCAGCCTGTAAAGCAAATGTACCTATTTGTCCTCTGCTGCAACAATGCCAGCTGCATTCAATCAACTGAGAAGCTGCAAGCCATAAACCTTCTTCCCCAGCTAAGGGGGGGTGGGAGCAGGCAAGAAAGGAGGCATGCCATAAAAATTCATCAGAATAATGTAAGGATGAGACGCGCTCCGATCGCGGGCAAGCAATCAACCAATCACTCATCCCGTGGCATTTACAGCACGTCTCATTCCCCTGTTCCTTAAGGACAATTGATTTTTCCTGATTCCATTAGCATAACGGCGTGGAAAATGTCTGCAGTGCAATATTTCTGGAAAGTTCCAACAAGTAGGCTGGGCACTGGAGTGTGACCATCTCCATAAACCTTCCTCAGGCTCTGCGGCAGACGCTGCCACAGCTGCCACAAAAGGCCCAGAGAGAATGGTGTAGTCTCCAAAATTTGGGGGCCAAGGGCACCTCAGGGGTGTCAAGGAAGGTAATTGGCACCAATATGAAACCTCTTATCTTCTTGTCCCTGAACACAGAAGCACTCTTTTTTGCGAGATGTGATACCATGGGGTGGTAAGAAGCAAGTAAAACCCACCTAGCCTAGGAGTGACTATGTCACACATACTGAGTCTATTTGTAGCCTTCTAAAGCTCCTGTACTTAGAAGCTGAGGAAAGAATGCTTATTGTGATTATTCCTTTGTGTGTGAACAAGAAGGCTGCAGGGGTAGGTACCTAGGGGCCTTACTCTGCTCTTCTGTCAGCTAGGTCTCCACCACATTCTCCACTGAGATCACATATGCATGAGAAAGGAATGTGAGGCATTTGGAACAATGCAGATCTGGGTTCAAATCCTGCCTCTTCCTTTTATCTGTGTGTTTGGCCATGGGCTACAGGTAATTAACCTTTCTAATCCTCAGTTTATTGTTATAAACTATGAAGACCTCATTACTTCACAGGTTGTTGGGAGAATTAAATGAGACTATGTAAAAAGCACCTAGCATAGTGCTGATGCATAACAACAGCTCAACAAATCAGATTCTCTTCCTTCCCTGTTTCTCTGCATTTCATTTTCCTCCTGCCCACCAGCAATGTAATTCCCTCAATATCAGCTTCTGCTGGTCAAGAAAGTGAAACTTCCCAATGCCAAAAGAAAACATATAAAACACAGAGTATTTAATCTTTAAACAAGATTAAAACCTGGCTATGCCTTTTAAAATGTGCTTTGGGAGACTTCTTATTCAGTCTTCTGAGTCATTCCCTATCGCTTCTCTCACCCCTCCTCTATTCTCACATTGCACAAGAAATCTCTCTAAAACACACATGTGACCTTGTCACATCCCTGCTTAAAACCCCTCAGTAGCTCCTCACTGCCATCTTCTGTCTTCAAGATTCACCTCAGGCTGTGTCTCCTCCAGGAAGCCTTCTTTGACCCTCACTGTCCTTTAGGATCCCACAACCCCTGTGCACATTCTCACACTCTGTGTCCATGTCTCGTCCATCCTAGACTGTGGGCTCTTTATGGGCAGTTCTCTAGTTCCATGTCCCCAGAACCTGTCATCTCACCTTATGCTTAGTAGATGTTCAGTTGATGTTTGTTGAGAAAACCAACTTACAAAGGCAGTGCTGATCTCATCACCGAGGCTCTAGGTTTAGCTCAGTGTTTACGGAAGGCAGTGTGGGTGCTGGCCGTGGTCCTGAATCTGTAGGGCCTGAGGAGAGAAAATGTAATAAAGAAAACTTGAGTGTGGTGAATACAGTTCTCATTCATTCAAATAACCTCCAGACAGATGGCATTTTATTTGGAAAGTGGAAGGAGGGCAGGGATTCTGGGGACTTCAGTTCCAGTCCTGGCTCTTCTATGAACGCTCTACTCAAGACACAAAACCTTTCTGGATTTCCATTTTTTTCATACGTCAAGTGGAAACAAAACCTGACCCTCCCATGTCACAAGATTGTTCTAAAGATTACAAAAGATGATGTCTGTGAATCTCTTTGTAATCTTTTTTAAAGTGCTTGCCATGGAAGACATCAAAAGTTCCTCCCAGCCCTTTCAGTGCTCACCGGTTGAGAGTTATCTACACTGACCACCTCCAATTCTTCACCTCCAGCTTGCTTCTCAGTTCACTCCCATGTGGCTTCTGGACTCATCATCCTGACAAAACAACTCTCAATAATGACCTCATGCTGGTAAACCTATTCTTCAATCCTCATTATACTTGCTCTCCTAGGACTATGTTTTTTGCACTCCAGCACTTACCCCAGGATATAATTATACATTCATTTATGTGCCTGTTTGATTAATACTTTCTCTCTAACTAGACTCCATGAGGACCTGGAGTTCCATGAGTGAACTCCATGAGGCTACAAATCGTGTCCGTTTTTCTTGCCATTGCACTCTCAGGTCCTGGTACAATGATCACAAGAAGCAGCCTCCCCCATGACTTGGAGGGTAGGCAATGTGCCCAGAGCAGGCCTGGTCATGTCCAACACCAGCAGATACCAAAAGAAATCCTGGAACCTCTATGGAAGTCCCAGAGTCCTCTGCTGCAACAATCTCCTGTCCCCCACTGCCAAGGCTTCTACCTGATGTGACTTGGAGCTCTGGGGAGGCCTCTGCCTCTTGAGAAATACAGAGGGTACAAGGAGGACTGCATGGTGTCCAACAGCATGAGCACAAGAGGTGAGTACGTGGGGTAAGATCTGGAGCACCACTGAGTCCACCTGCCCTGCTGTGTAGAGAAAGAAAACTTAAGGCCAGAGAAGAAATGTAATCTAAGACCTGACAATGAGTTAATGTCATTCACAGGCCAGAAAAAGCTAGAGGCAGGAAATGTGATCTCTCAGATCTCCTATGATCCCTACTCTGGGACACCATGAGCCCTGGGCTGCCCTCTACTATAACACATGTCTCCCTGGGTTGCCATTGTCTGTTCACATGTCCACCTTCTCCTGGAGGACAAGGAGAATGTCTGGTTAATCTTTGTATTCCCAGGGATAGCACAATGCATGACACATAGTAGGACTCAATCAATGTTTCTTGACTAGACACTGGATCACAAAGAGATTAGGAAAGTGGATGCCAAATGGTAAGAAGGCTGACTGGGAGCCAGCTCAGAATCCCTCTTAGCTTGAGACCCATCCACCCCCAAAGCCCAGAAATAAGGAATAGTCAGCCTCAAGCCTGAACATCCCCAAGATCCAGTAATGGGCTCCATGGTGAAGTCCCTAAAATAGATCTGCTACTGAATTCCTGCTGAATTTCCAGGCTGTTCAGCCAAGAAGCCAGCGCCATCCTATAACCCCTTAGGAAGAAGAGAGCTTTAGAGTTTATGATTTGCCCTTACAGGTAACACAAAGCACAGAATATTATTTGCATTTGAAAGCCAGGGAAACTGAGGTTCTTTCATCCATCCCATAAGGATATGGAATCAGGGTATATTATTCAGGATTTTCCAGAGAAACAGAACCAATGAGATAAATAGATGATAGATAGATAGATAGATAGATAGATAGATAGATAGATAGATAGATAGATAGACAGACAACAGGGGATTTATTATGAGAATTAGTTCATATAATTACAGAGGCCAAGAAGCCCCATAATATTTTGTCTGCAAGGTAGAGAACCAGGAATGTCAGTGGTATGATTCAGTCAGAGTCTGAAGGTCTCAGAACCAGGAGCTCTGAAGTCCAAACGCAGAAAAAAATGGATGTCCCAGTTCAAGTAGAGACAGTGAATTCGCCCTTCCTCCACCTTTTTTTTCCATCCAGGCCCTCAGCGGATTGGAAGATACCTGCCCACACTGATAAGAGAAATATTCTTTACTCCATCTACTGATTCAAATGCTTACGTCTTCTGGAAACACCTTCACAAACACAACAAGAAGTACTGTGTTACCGGTCATCTGGGTATCCCTCACCCAGCCAAGCTGACACATGAAATGAACCATCACACAGCGGCTTTGCAGTCAAAACCCACGACTTTGAATTCCAGCTCCTCCACTTACAGCCATACACCCTTAGTCTACGATGTGGATTTGAGGGGATATAGAAGACAATGACTGTACCTTCAAGGAGCTTACAGTCTAGTGATGGAAAGATTATGTCTATAAGAATTCTAATGCCAGGCAGAATGTGATTCTAGCAGGAGGTTCACAGCCTACTGGGAGAAAAACTTAATGGAAAAGTTTCTCTTATAAGTCTTTAAAAATGCATGGGATTTTAATGGCAAAGAAAGGAAAATATTCCTGGTGAAGACAGAAGAGAGCATGGGGCATGTTCCTGGAATGGGAAGTAAGTCTGTTTGGCTGGAAGACTTAAGGATGTGTGGAATACAAATGAGATCTGAGGCCACGAAAAAGAAGTTGGGAGAGAGATTTGAATGCTACTCAAGTGCTCAGAAAGGTTAAATAACTTGTCCAAGGACACAAAGAATCAGTGGAGGATCTAGGACCGGGCTTCAGAACTCTTCCCTTTCACCACTCTGCTCTCATCTTCAACATTAGTAAGGCACAGTGGATGGCAGGGGCAGGGGGCTGTCCCATTATAAAAGCACATGAAAAAGAAACAGTCAGAATTAGTGTGGCTGTAGGGGAGGAGCTCAGAGCTGCTTGACAAATTAAAAAGGGAATTTCAGGATGAAAGCAAGGAATTTTGTTCTGTCCCACATCTCTACAAGTGGCATATTCTATTGCCCATCAAAACCATGCTTAGAATGGGTATTAATCTTTGCCATGAGTACATAATGTTAATATAATTAATATAAATTAAACATCCCCACAGACATTTTTTCTTCAGAAATAATTACCTTTGCTAAGACTTTTCATGGAAAAAGGAAAGGTGAATTTCAGGCCCACTCACAAATTCTGAATTTTTGCAAATTTTCGATGTTAGTAGAGAGAAACTGAGACTGGAACCATGTTGGTTGACCGAAATATTCAGCATCTTCAGAATAGTCTATCAGAATGTTTCAGAATCTCCCAGGCTCTAACATATTTGAGCATGGACTCAGCCAGATCCAGGTCCAAGGACCCACTCAGACTCTACCTGTCTGTATGACCCTGAGACCCTCAGACCACCTCTCCAGACCCACCTCATATTCTAAATATAAAATAAGTCAGATAATGGATTTGGAGTCCATCAGAGATCTCATAATCTAGAGGGGGAGACAGCAAAGGAATAAAGCAGGTGAAGTAGGATGCCCCAGCTCTGCAGGGAGGATTCCAGGCCAGAGGTAGATAACTATTTGGTTGTTGATGGGAGGCACGAGGTCATCTTTTCCTCCTGACACCATGAGAGGTACTAAACTTAGCCTTTTATGTAACTTATGTCTTACTACTGTAAGGCAGGTTATTATGTCTTCATTTTTGCTCAGAGAGGTTAGTTATTGACCAAAGGTAAAAGAAGGGGTAGATGCAGATTCAAAGCAACGCCACTCTAAGGGTAAAGCCTGAATGCCCAATCTCTACACTATGCCACCTTCCGCGTGAAGCCTGCTGGGTGTCACTGGAAATCTCATCTGCACATCCACCTTGGAATTCTGGGATATCAGCAGTATTTCTACACTGGGGCTCCAAGAACCTTGAGAGTGATGGCAAAAGGAACTTTGTGACCGAGGCTCATGTAAGAGTCACAAATTGGAAGGGGAAATTCAGACTGTATTCACCCAGGATGGAGGACTAAGGCAGAGGCTCCATATGAGGTAAAAGAGCATGAAATGCAAGGGTCTCCCTGGGGAAACTAAAGAAGCCCCAAGGTTCACAAGGTTGGGAGGGGAGCTCCAGCTCAGGAGTTCAAAAGCAAAGTGGTGAGGAGGGGTTGTGCTGTTCCCAGGCCAAGGTTCTCAGGCACTTCCTGCTTCCCACCAGGATGGGTGAGACTTAAGGTGTGGTTGAGGACAGGGAGAGCCTAAATGTACCTGGCTGTGGAGGGAACTAACTAGAGGAAGAAGCTGAAAGTTGGGCAGAGTCTGATGCTCATCCTCTTAGGAAGGCACATGCCTGATCAAGGAAGAGCAGTACCTAACTCTTCTGCATCCTTCAAAACCCTACTTTGACTTCACTGCTGTTAAAATGATTTCCATGAGCTCTTCCCTAGATTTAATTAATCCCTCCCTCTGAATTTCTATTGAAACATCTTCTTGACCACATTGCCCTTGTCAATGTACATATCTATCTCCTTGTCCAGAGTGCGAGATTCTCTGGGGCACAGAGCTACATCTGAGGCATCTCTGGGTCTCTGGGGCCTTGCACAGAATCCTGTATGAGTACAAGCTCAGGGACTTTTTGCTGAAGTGGATGACAAAGAGAGCAAGCATCCAAAAACGACTGCAGAAGCATGAGAAGGACAGAAGGGGTGTGTGTGTGTGTGTGTGTGTGTGTGTGTGTGTGTGTGTAGAAGGGATGATTTTGGAGGAGGGACATGAGAAAAGGAAAGCTTTGTCTAGGGAGAGGAAGAGGCCAGGCTCTGCCCCTGACCCCTGTGGGGAGCAGAGCTCCTTTCTGAGCTCCCTAGGACTGAGCTGAGCCTCTTGTCTGTACCAGTTCCAGAAGCTGTTCAGTTGCCTTCACAGCTTTTAGGTGCTGCAATGGGGTCTGTCAACAATTACTAGTGTTTTCTAATGAAGTTCAACTAGTTAAAACCATCCTCGAGCTAATGAACATTGTTGGGGACTTCCAGGAGAAAAA